GCTGGCACCCCGTGCTGTGCAGCTCCGTCCCCGCTTGCTGTGAGATCTGTGTGCAATGCAATGGGCAGAGAGTCGCACCCAAACGCAGCACTGCTGTGAGTTGAGCCAATGAGACTCAGCACGTAAATACTGCTGGTTCTGTTATCTGGAGCGTTCTGTCAGTGTGCTGATAGCAGCCCTGGGGGCGTTCCTAAGCAGAGGGAAATGTAAAAAGCAGAAAGACTTGCCACGCCATCTCATCCAGCCACCTCTAGTACAGGAGCATGCATTGCCCAGACTAGTTTTAATGACCCCAATCTCTGGCTTCTGTCTCTTGCCTGGGGATGTTTTTGTGGCATAACTGTTTCTTCTCTTTCCTCTACTAGTGCGTTCTTGGTGTTGTCATTCTGCTTTCTCCTCCTCTTTGGCACTTCAGATTTCTGAGAAGGCTGCTGCTTGTTTTTCCTTTTGCTGCAGAAGGAGGGAGGTGCAGGAAGGCAGTATAGTTCTGGCACCAGGGAAAGTGAGAGACGAGAGGATGGGAAGAAGTGGGAATGCTGCACCTTGAGCTGCAATTTCTGGACTTGATGTGCTAAAAGAACCTCTTTCTGCAAGCAGGCAAATGCTGACATACCTGGCATTTGCCAAGCCTCCCTGTACAAACTCTAATGCTCTACTAGACTGAAGTGGGCTGTGATGTTTCCTAGAAGAGCATTGTTTGGTTTTACTGTTTTTGTTTGAGATAAGCTTCTTGCCACTCCAAGGGCAGCTCTTTGCATCCATGTATATAATCTGTGAATTGGTGTTTCTTTTGTTTTTTCTTAGAGCCATGTTGCACCATAGTCTGAAACAAACAAAAAAAAAAAAAAAAAAAAAAGACTCCTATTTTAAAAAAATTACTGTTTAAAATTAGAGCTCTCAGAGCAACAAAAAAAAATCAATCCTTTTTATTTGTAGCACAAAAACATTATCTGACACACCCCTCACAACTCAGTCCTATTCGTTCAAACTAAAACCATACTGTACACAAATGGAAGTCAGTTGCTCACAAATCCATTTCAGTGCAATCTTCTTCAGAAGGTTATATGGATAAGCAGATGGATTAGTTCTAATGAGCAGTGTTTGGTGGTGGTGGTTGGTTTTTGTTTTTGTTTTTTGAGGTTCCATGCATTCCAAGATGTAATAGGCAGCTCTAGTGCCTAGAATAATTGCAGAGAAAGACTTCTATGCCATGAAGATAGAGGGTGGGAGGGAGAAGAGGTAGGAAAATCTGTTGTCTGTGTTCTTGGAAGCCTTCTCTGTCTCCATTTGGATGCTGTCAGTTTCCTTTACACAAACATTACAGCATCCAAAGGGAATTAGAAATAGTTACCCATGACCACAACGTCAGTCTTAGGTTTGTCAGGAGAAAGTAATGCAAAGGCAGAATCTTGAACCTAGTGCCTTTATTTTGGTTTTAGCATGCTAATAAATGTCTGCTGATGCTGGAAAGAGGTAGGTCTGGCCGTCTAGTCGAATACAGGAAATTTATGAATCTTACCTCATAGATGTGAGATGGTTTATGGATCTGTAAAAGTGCCATCTAAGTCCTAAGTAATAGTTACTGTGTCTTGTGATGTCTGAAGTTGCATGACAGTATAGCAATCATTTGTGCAATGGCATGGGACAGAGACACAAAAAGGGGATGCTGCTGGTCAGAAGGATTTCAGCTGCCTGAATTGGTCACACTGAACCTTTTAACTTCAGCAACATTTACTGTAAATGCATCTTAGCCCAACATCAGTGCAAAGATAAAGGGCGATGTTTTTTATTGGTAAACTTTCACTGCCTTCCATTGCAGCCCCTCTGCTCAGACGTGTGCAGTGCTCAGTGTTGGGACCCCCATGTAATTGTGTGGGGCTGCACAAGCAGGAAACAGCCCGCCCTGAGCTGCTGTACATCCAAAATACCTACAGAGCTGATGTGCTTGTGGAGTTTGGCTAAGATTCAGCTGGGAAATACATTTTGTGACTCTTGTCCTTCCCTCAAGCCAATTCCCAAGTCAAGAGGAAAATCCAGTTTGTAAGAAAAAAACCTATACCTGAAGGCCAAGCAGCTATAGGGCAGTTGCAACAGGCAGTTGTGTATTTTTCCCGTTGCTAAGTGGAATTTAATCCATGTTGCCAAAGCCCATCAGCTAAAGTTGTGATTTTTGGGAAAGGAAAACAAATGAGCTCTGTCACACAGCTGCACGTTCTCCTTGGGGTAAATGTGCAGGCCAGGTCCAAAAGGACGCAGTCACTTTGCCATGCCAAAGCACACGATGCTTCCTAACATTCACACCTTGGCCTGGGATGGGAATGAGGAAGTCCAAGGAGAATAAGGGCACTTTGAGACTGTGCTTGATAAACCAGAAATGAGCTGCCTGTGTTTAATGGTGAAAGTAATTGCCTATTGGAGCAACTCACTGACGGGATGTCTGAAATCTGTAAGTCTGGATTGGATGCCGTTCAAAAGGAGCTTTGCCTAAGCTGCCAGTTGTAGCCCTTGGGTGCCATAGAGGAACATGCTGGCAGCCCAAGGATGGATGGTGTTTGTATGCAGCCTTGCTCTCTGGGACAACTTGGTGTGGTGTTTTTGCAGTATGCATCTCACTGAAGGATCCTGTTGCGGCTCTGTGTCTTTCCCCTAATGTTTAGACCAGTGCCTGCCATGCAGTTGGCACGCTGACCTCTCAGTGTCCAGATGCAGCTCACCTGTGCTGAACAGCTGACTGCTGTGAGAGCAAATAGCCATTGTGATCCCTTGCAACCTCTGGCACATCGGGAATCCCACAGAGGAAGACGGATGAAATACTTTCATCCTGTCCTACCAAGATTTCCCAGACAGAGATGGACATCTGCAGCAATATGAATGGTGTGGAAAGGGACTTGTGATGAGCCCGGTCTGTTTGTCAGGAGCCTTCCTGTGCCTCTTGGCCAATGTCAGCAGGAGTTGCTCTCATTAAAAAAGTGTTAGGAATGCACCAATGGCAACTCTGCGAGCAGCTGTTCTGGTGATGCCCTCCAGAGATGTGGCTCCTGCAATCTGAGCTGCTCCCTTTTTCCACACACAAGTAATTTCCAAAAATATTTATCAAGGTTTTGATCTTTGCCTGAAACTGAATTTTCTTTTCTCTGGCTGGAACAAAATTCCTCAGGATTTGGAAAGAGTGAGACTTTTCACTCACCAGATGAGGGTGTACACATGTGAAATGTTGTTGATATGTATTTCCCATTCACTTCGGTTGGAGATGCAGTGATTGTTAAATCGGAATGTCTCATTCAAGCATTGGTTTCTTACAATGGATGTTATCTGCCCACATCAGCATAGTTACAGAGTGTATTATTTTCATGAACTGGAATGGATTGGAAACTTCTAGCAATGTAAAAAGAGACCCTGCATGCATTTGTATCTCAAAAAAAAACCAAAAACAACAGAACAAAGCATGTAGGAATATTGAAATGAAATTTTTAACCTTTCTCTTCCTGCTTTTTAAAACGTGTGTTTGCCTGGTTCTGATGCGGTGGCCATATCTTGTGGCACAGAAATGAATGTGCTGTGACTGCACGTTGCAGTGACTCATGGCTGACTTGAGAACTTTCTCCATAACGTTTTGTTTCCAACACTGGCACAGCACTACCAGGAGCTCCTCCTGCCTTGCTGAGCAGTACAGAAAGGCCACAGCTACTGTTTCCATCACAAGCACAAAGCCTTGTCAATGGAAATCTTGACCTGTAGAGTTCAGCCTGGATCCATGACTGGACATCTCAGGAAGGTCGTTGCCCCCAACCACAAATTTAATTAGCAGCTTTCCCTTTCTACTACCTTTTTTGTTGTTTTTCCTGCTTAGTTAATTTTAACCCAGTGGCCCACATGAGGAATGCTGAGTTCCCAGTTGAGGCAGTAGATGCATCTTGAGGAACCCCAGGGAACTGAAGCTCAGTGAGGGATCGCCAGTGGGAGCCTGGGTTAAACGTGGCGTTACACCATGGGAAGTTTCCGATCTCCCATTGCAGACAAAATGTCTACACGAACAATACTGCTACTTTCCTAAATTCCTGCATTTTGCAGATGTGAAGGTCAGTTTCTGTAGGGGAAGCCGGGCTATTTTGGGGGAGTTCACAGTGCTCTGTCTTTTTGCTGCCGCTGCTAATTTTTGTGAGCACCATAGAATATAGTAGAAAATTGAAACTGTGTGAAAGATCAACAAATCAGTGTAGAATGTCACGCAGCAACATCTGTTAACTTTGGCTCTATCTCATATCCTCCTGACCCCTCCTTTGCAGCCACAAGTCTCCTGTTTTGTGAGAGCTTGGAGTGATAGGGGCTTGGAGAGCAGGGGAAGGAAAGTCTAGCAGTTTCTCAGTGGTCTGAAGGGCTTGCAAAAGTACCATGTGGAATTAAAATTTTATGCTTGTGTGTTTCTGTATTTTTAGTTATGAAACAAATGGGAATTTGCTGAATGAATTAATTGTATTGTACCATAAAAGTCTTATCTGGAGAGCCGTTATATATTGTAGCTTACAAAGTCTGCGGAGAGAAATGAAAGAGGCTTCCCTTTCTAATTAAGGCTTTCAAGAACTCATTGATTACAGAATCTAATAGGCTTGCTCAGAGCCATTTGTTTGATATTACTTCTGAAAAATGGAATTTTTTTACCTACTGGTAATTTTACTAGTGACACTGGAGGCAGCTGCTCTCTCTAACAGTAAGTTTGCCTGCAGTAAAACTTTATCCTTTCCTTCCTATCTTATCCAAATAGCTACAAATAGTGAAACATGAGTTCCAAACTGTAGATGACAATAAAAAGTTTAAATCTTGAAGAAATCAGTGACGTGGTAGACAGTGTGTCTTTACTGGGGATGGTCTTTGTCCAGACCAGCTTAATGCTGTATGCTTGTTCTTGCAATGCATTTAATAAATGTAAACAAGACTTTGACCCACTTTGTAGACATTTATTTATCTCTGCTTTTATTTATTTGTTTATTTTTTTAAATCAGGGTCAGCATATTTCGTTAGCTCCTATTCAGAAGCTGGAGGAAACTTTGTATGAGTACCAGCCTCTGCAAGTGGAGACATATGGACCACCAGTTCCAGATCTTGAAAGTTTGGGAAGACTTGGGTAAGTAACACTGCAGATTTTCATTCCCATTTCACAGCATTAAAGCTGAGATGGCTACTATCTTTACTTTCCCAGCATGTAGGTATTTTTACTTATATAATATATATATGTATGTAAAGGATCTTAATGAAATATTAGACTTCCTGCCCAACCAACCAACATTTTGTTTGGGTGGATAAGCTAAAATTTTTGGTCTTCAAGCCTTTATAGATCTATTGAGAGCTGGACTGGATTGCATTAGTGTTTTTAAGGTTGTCCTTGGCAGTCGCAGTGAAGTAGCTGTTCATTTTCAGTTGCACGGTATTAAAAAAGAAATAAATAAAATTCTGGGGCTTAATTTACCCAGCTGTAAGCCAGTAAAAATATTAAAGTTGGGCCTTTTGCCATGGAAAAGGGGTAGATTTACTTGTCGACTGCTGTCTACAGTCAAACTGCGTTTGTGAGAAATGAAGCACAGAGCTTAACTATGTCAAAAAGTATAAAGCAGGGCTGGTCCAGCAGCTTGGCAGCACTGTGGTGTGCAGCCATGTTTGGAAGTGAGTTTGGGAGCATGCTGTGCCTGGGTAATGGAGGCTGGGAAGGCCAAAAGTGACGTGTCTGCCCTCTGAAGAAGTGTTTGTAGCTGAAATACCACCTGAAAATGTGTCACTGCGAAGATAGGGAGCATCCCCAAACTGGTTGTTCTGACTTCCAAGGTCACAAGCACTTGGAGCTGCTGGAAAATGATGAGGCAGAGTGAATGTGAGCTCAGCAAGGCAAGAAAGCATTTAAAAAATAAAAATTAGTTATTTACCTTCATGCTTATGGGAAAACTGAAGCCAGAAAGGACTGAATAAAGCTGAGACACTTCAGTATGCAGATTCAGAGAGCACTGAAATCCAAACAGGAATTCTGACTAGTTCAGTGGCACAGACAGAATTTCATCTCACCCAGGAAATGATATAGATTGACTTTTTAAAACAAATCTGCAAAGTAATGATGATGTAGAAAATTCAAGGCTGTCTGGAATTGAGGTTGTCTCCGTTTTTATTGTTTCTATCCTTATGGTGCCTGTAATATTTATTATCTGTTCCCAAGCTTCCGAGACCAAGTATTAATTAGCAGTTTAAACTTGGGCAGAGCCAGATTCAACCTTCACCACCTGTTTGGATGGAGCACAGCTGTGAGGGACCTCCAGGGTGATGGGAGCCTTGGGGCCCTCTCAGCCCCAAGCCTTATCACAAATGGAAATGTTGAGGGGGAAAAAAACTTACTTGTACCATGAGGGTTCTCTGTCTCTGTGCTCGTGCCCTGTCAGGTGATTGCTGGCATCCAGGTCCAGCAGGAGCACTGCTGTCCACATCCATCCCATCGAAATGTCTAACCCTGTACCTTTGGGTGTCTGAAATACCTTAAACCATGCAAGGCTGTTCATTTATGTATTTTTATTTCTGTGTTTATATGAACTCATGTGCATTTCCTGTTGATGGTGAATGCTTAACTAGTGTGCTTTGATCCCAGGTTTTTGTTGTTTGGTTTTTTTTCTTCAGGCAGCTGTTTGCAGCTGCCTCAGTGAGGCAGAATTGCTGGGCATTATGTTATCCATCCCTGCTGAAGATTTCTATTTTCCTCTGAATTTGGACTCATATAAACTCAGGTTCAGTTTAAAAGTATTTACAGTTTTTACTCCTTCATCTTTGGCCCATTTTCATCATCTTTCTGTGAGAAAGAAAGCAATTTTCCACAGTCCTTCCAAATTTGTGAGTGTTTGCTCAGTTTGTGCTGTTGTTATTCATAAAGTACAGCAACATTTGTTGTTCCTGTTAACAATCTTGCAGATTAAAGTTTGGCCATTTTCTGCTGCTAAATAGTTCCCTCAAACATGCAGGCTGTTGTCATCTGAGTTTCTGGAGCTGAAATTATTGCAAAGATGCTGCCAATCTGGAGGCTTTGAGTTCACTTCTGTTAACATAATTAGTGACTTTGTTTTAATTTATCTTCAGAACACCCAGCAGAATGAGTGTTTTAAATATTCCAATCTTAACCTTTTACATTCTGCAAGACTGACTTCAGTTGTCAGAATAAGTGTTGCTTTTTCTTTCTTAGTAAGCTGCTGTAATGAAGGAAGCAGCTGGCAGGGAGATTTCTAGCAAAACTGGAAAAAGAGTGAATCCTTAAGAGATCATTCAGAACACTTGCTAGGGACCTTTTCTAACTAAAAATAATATAGTGTTTTAAGTTGACTCGTTATTTGCTCTTTAGACTAACAAAAAATCCAATAATCCCCACCAACTTTGTACAGTCCAATAACCTTGATTCTGCATCGTCTCTCTGCTCTTCTGTTTGGACTTCACTTGTTTTGCAAATAACAAAATTATGTTCCAAATGGCTTTTAGAAATCTGTTTGTAATTTCTCTTAAGACTGTAAATTTCTTTAATTTTATTTACTGTAGGAAAGCATTAACATCCATATGATGCATATTTTTTTGCTGTTTTATTGGTGGTTTGACAATAATGAAGAAACATTTTTTTTCTTTTCCCATACAGAGGATTGGTAGTAAGTATAGGATTTTGTGTCCTGTCCGCCTTCCAAATCATTTTTTCATAAAAGAAGACTTTTTTGAAAGAACAAAATATAAGCAAGAATCCTGAAATACACGACATTCTAGGAGCAATATGTTTTACACTAACTTGTAGACAGCATTTAGCCTTTAGGCAGAGGAAGTGAAAGAAACTTCCTCAGAGATGCCCTTGACTCCTTAGTGGTGGGGCTGCTGCAAGGAAGTCCTGTGATGTTTCCATGAATGCATCTGAACGTGCTGTGGCCAGATGGAGATGATTTGATCTTGGTGGCAGAGAACACTTCATGTGTGTAGCGTGAGTTGGAAGGAATAAGCAGAGAAGACTTGCCCATGAAGTTCACAGAATGGCCAGGGTTGGAAGGGACCTCAAGGGTCATGAATCTCCAACCCCCTGCCACGTGCAGGGCCACTAAGGTTGACAAAGACAGGTGTAGGGTCCTGGTGTAGTTGCGGAGGAATGCCTACAGGCACGTTAGGGGCTGACTTGTTTAGAAGGACCTTGGTGCCCTGGTGGTGAGCAGGTTGGCCATAAGCCCGCAGTGTGCCCCTGTGACCAAGAAGGCCAGTGGTAGCCTGGGGTGCATTGAAAAGAGCATAGCCAGCAGGTCAAGGGAGGTTCCCTTCCTCTACTACTCTGCCCTGGTGAAGCCACGCAATCATAGCATCGCAGCCGGAGAACAGTTTCCAGTTCTGGGCTTCCCAGTTCAATGGGAAACTTGTTAATTTTTCAGACCCGCTGCTCCAGTCTGGGTCCATCCAGCGAGCCTTTGGCACAGTGCACCTTCAGGCAACCAGAGGCTTGAAGGAGCCATCAGCAAAGGGCAGCTTGGTATCAGGTGCTGAGATACTGACACAACTGGCACCTGCCTTGAGATTTGCTCTCTGTGCGACGTTCCAGTGCCAAAATGAGTTTTGTGTATCTTTTGGCAATTCTGAATTTTCTTGTTTAAAGAAAATACCACATTGGCCACTGTCATCTCACCCTTCTGAGATTTTACTGTTGTTCCTCCTTCTTTACCTAGTGTAGTTTCAGAGATTAGTTTTGTTTCCTTTGAAAGTATGCTCGTTCAATGCTTCTGTTTCAATATCATATTTGGGAGCCAACATTTCTCCATTTCTTCCTGTTCCAAATGAGCTTCTGTCGATTTTGTTTTTGGAAGTTAACTTGGGATGCCACGCTAGGAGCAGTGCATTCACGGGCCACATCATTTGTTTTTGAGAACCGTCTGGGTTGGTGTCATTTGTCTGAAGTGGGGAATATCATCTTGTGGCTCAAATCAGTCCAAATCTGTTGAACTGCCTAAGTCATGCAAGGCGATCAATCTGGGAATGGAGGTCGTGTGGCTGACAGAGCAAGAGTGCCCAAATGCTAGGGCACTTGATGCCATTGCTTTACCTCTGGGTATCCTAAGAGGAGGCAAAAGGATCTGTCTCCTTTATTTTTCCTTTCCTTTTTCTTTTTTCTTTTTTGCTAATGTTTTAGCTGAGCACACTGAATTTGTCTGTGCGGTTAGAGATCTGGAATAGATAGAATTTTTCTTACTGCCAAACAGAAGAAATGAAAAATAAAACAATCTGTCATGCCAAGTAGTGAAAGAGTGAAAGAAGAGGGGGATGGAAGTTGGCTCCCTTTCACATGTGAAGAGCTTTGTTGATTTAAATATGCTTGTTGTGTAGTTTTGATTTTGAAGAATAATAATAATGCAAGGATAAAAATGATGGTTTGTTTAAGGTCCTGAAAAATGTGAATTCATTCTTTGGATGGTCCATGGGGTTAGCAGGAGCCGCAGCACAGCAGTCTCACCAAGTAGTTACAGCTGTGGGAGTGCCATGCACGAGCTACATGCAAAATAACTGTACATTAAAAACCTGCTTCTGCAATCAACATTTTGGATGAAGAATTCGGTGTCTCAAAGTTTAAAACCAGTCTCTTGTAATCCAAAGTAGCTCTCACTCTAGCACAGCACAGTCCTATTGACACGATGCTCACAGTATAGAGGCAGTTTACAGATATGATTAATTATGATTCCTGTTAGCACTCAACTTCAAAATCCTCAGCCTTAACAGGGAATTTTTGTGCAGATCTTGTAAAGAAACCAAGCCTGCTCTGCTTAAAGTAAAATGGTGTGTGATGCAAAAACAAAGGTCAGTGGCAGACACTGGTGAAGCTATTAACATACCTTAGTAGTTAATTTAGATGTTAAAGTGAATCAAAATGTCCTTTTAAGAATTGAGGGTAAGTTCTGAAGGAAAGTCAGAGTTTGGGGGAGTTTTGTACATAGAATGAATATGTTTTAGCCCACTGTGCTTTTTATAATGGGCAACTGGATTGACCCATTCCTTTTTTCCTTAGTGTGCAGCATCTCGGTCATTTTAAGTCTTGAGTGAAGATGAGTAGGCTGGATTTCATATCTGTTACAACTTTGTTAGCATTTAATT